GTGGTCCACCCTCGTGTCGTGCCCATTCAAACTTGAGAAAACTGCTGGAAATAATAACAGAAAAGAGAAATTTGACTTGGAAATTTAAACTTACATAATAAATTCCTGGATCATACCAAAGACGTGTTAATTTGAATGGAAAAAATATTGATTGTTTTTTAATAAAATCTCAAATTAAAGTTTTATAAATAAAGAAATAAATATTATGAGATTTTTTTTATAGTGTATAACGTAATTTTATTTTAAATTTGTTAAAACTTCATTTGGTTATTAAATATTGAAAGATTAATAAAAAAAAAATTTCCATAAGTCATTTATGACATTCTTCTTATCTAAAAATTAAATTAGGAAGCAATCCTAACCAAACTTCATTTACGCAATATCAAAATTTTTTTTTTCCTGGGCTTTGTGAAGCAGGGCTGTGACAACTAGCAATAGCATTCTCCTCCATTGTTCTTCTCTTAAAGTAAAATAGAGACAAAGCTTTTCTCCATTGAAGGTGAGTTCTCAGGGAGAACTTATTTTCTACATCAGCCATACCTTTTGATCCAATAGCAAAATGATAAAAGCCATTTGTATGAAACATTTCCCCTTTCTTTAGGTTTTTAATTCAAATCTGTTTTATTTGAATTAAATGAATTAAAAAATATGGGTTGAATAAAATAATTTTAATATATTTTTAAAAAAGCTCTACACTAAAGATGAAGCGTTTTATCACATATTCTATTTAAATATTAAATATATAAAATGTGAATTTATAAAAATAATATTAATTATGACAATATGGTACTAAAATAAACTTTTTGATTGTTCACTATTGTACATGCTCTAATAACAAGGATTAATATAATATAAGCCTCTGGCTTGCTGGGGAGGTTGGGTTTTCAGAGGCCTGTCTATCTAGGATAGCACACATGCAGGTACAGCAATGAGGTACTATGTTTTATTAATTCTTAACCTCTGCAAATTTTCATGACAAAGACAAAGGCGGTAAATTTACCCAGAACAAGGGAAATCATACCTTCATTGGGGTTGACTATTGCCCACATAGGAACATATTGCTACACCATCATACAGGAACATCTCCTTGGATCAACTCGACAGTTAGTCAACTTTCTACAAGTAAAAGATTGCAGTTAGATGCGAATATTTGTATGGACCACATACAAGTCTTAACAACTAGTTGTCCATCCGGTATTTGTCCTTCCGGTGGAATATTTCTTGAGACATCATAAAACCTAGAACAGAGAAACAAAGGCATGTATGTAACCAATGAGAGAGTCATGAGCAGACCCCTAGAGATGGAGCAGAAGAATTGTGATTACCGTGCAATTCTTCCTCCTTTTCATATAGGTTGACCCTTTGGAACAATTTGATCTTTGATCCACATGTAAATAGGAACAAGCACAAAGTAAGCTGCTGCTATAGACCCAACAATGAGGAACAAGAGGAACATAAGTGGATTTACAGGCTTCTTTATGTCCTCTGCCTTTGGAGCAAGCTGCAACAAGATGCGCACCCATTACATTAGGAGAAGGACAAAACTGAGAGCTTCATAAGAAGATTAGTATATTTCTTTTGTTATTTTCAAGACCCTCTTTAAAGAAACGAAAATAAAATGAACCCAGACACGAAGAATTAATGCTTGGAAATGAAGATAGCCAAATTTGAGAAAATTTTGAAACACAAGCTTATGCTCTAACTTGCTACAAACCCCGCTACATATGCACTTTTTCCTCATGAAAACTCAAAAGAATGTCTACTGATAACAATTCTCCTTTTACAAGTGTTAGAAATAGAAAAGAAGAAGAAATATTTGAAGAAAGTTTTATTATTTTCTTGAATAATACCATATGTACAATAACATATATATAGGTGTTTACAAAGGAAATATTTTAAAATACAAAGTTTACAAAGAGAATATTTTAAGTTATAAAATATTTATAATAAATGTGAATAGTGTGAATAAGTGTGAATAGTGTGAATAAGTGTGAATAGTGTAAATATGATTTGAATAGTTGATTGTCAATTATTGTAATCACATCCTGACATCTCCCCTCAAACTCAAGATGATCGTGATGAATTCAACTTAAGTTTGGAAAGAAGAGTATGAAATCATTTAGGAAAATGAGCCTTGGTGAAAAGGTTTGTTGATTGATCGGTGGAGCCAATGAAAATCAAATGAACAATTCCTTGTGTAACATGATGCAAACAAAGTGACAATTAACCTCAATGTGTTTAGTGCATTCATGGAAGACATCATTATGAGCAATCTACACGACACTCTGATTATCACAATAAAGATCAATAATAGGCAGTTGAGGAACACCCATATCTTCTTGTAGCCAACGTAAATTAAGTAACTTTGATGTAGTGTCTCCAAGTGCTCAAAATTCAACCTCTGTGCTACAACGTAATGAAACTATCTGCTTCTTGCTACAGCAAGAGATTAAGAAATCACCAAGAAAAAGACAATATCCAGTGGTAAATTTACAATCATTAGAGTCTCTAGCCCAATCAGTGTTAGAGTAAGCACAAAGTTCAAGAGATGAATGATTAGAAAAGGGAAGTCTATGAAAAATGATACCTTTAATATAGCGAATAATGTGAAGTACTACTGTAAAGTGAGTGGAGCGAGGCGTAGCTATAAACTAGCTAACAACATGAACTGCATAAGCCATATTTGGTTGTCTTGTAGTAGGATAAATTAAACTTCTAACCAACTATCTATACCAATTGTCTGTAGTGAGTAGGATCAACTAATGGAGAACCATCTATAGGTGTAAGTCCAACATATGGCTCAAGAGAAGTAGATGCAATTTTATTGTCAATGAGTCCAACTTTAGATATAAGATCAGAAGTATATTTTGTTTGGAAGAGAAGATAACCATCATTAGAAGAGGTGACCTCAAGTCCCAAGAAATAACTCAAAACACCAAGATCTTTCATTTCAAACTTATGATTGAGAAATTGCTTAAGATCATGAATACCTAAAATATCATCTCCTGTAATGATCATATCATCAACATAAATAAGCAGTAGAGCCATACCATGATTAATCTTGTGTATGAACAGTGTAGTAACATGAGGACTAAAGGTAAAACCAAATTCATTGATGGTGGTACTAAACTTGGCAAACCAGGCTTAAGGTGCTTGCTTCAAACCATAAAAAGCCTGCAATCAACTATTTAGTTCATATTTACACTATTCACACTTATTTGCACTATTCATACTTATTTGCACTATTCATATTTATTGTAAATATTTTATACCTTATAATTTTATTTTTGTAAATACCCATATATATATGTCATTACACATACAGTATTATTCAATAAAGTAATAAACCTTTCTTCAAATATTTCTTCTTCTTATTTGTTTCTAACATGATGTCAAAGCGATAAGCTCATGGTTCTTCTCTTTTATCATCACTACTTGGTTTTTGAGTTGGACTTTCAGATCCATTTTGAATTTGATACTTTGTCATTGGGTTCTTTCCTCTTGCAGATTGAATTGTTTATTCTTAATTCTCAAGCCCTTTCTAAGGTATTTTGTTGAGTTGTTATTTCGATCTTGACATCTATTTCTTCATATTTTTAGAGATTTTTTTTAATATTGTGAGTTCTATTGATTTTATGGTGAGTTTTGAAAAAATTGTGACTCATCTTGCTACTGTAATGGTTGCCAAAGAAGTGATAAACCAACCTATTATCAACCTTCAATCTCTAAAATAGGTCATATTAAATCTTTTTAATACTCCTATTGCCTTATTTACTACTTTAGGGACTAAACCTTGGTATTTTGATTCTGGTAATTGTGAATACATCTCTTCAACTATTGCTCATTTCTCTTCAATGTCACCAAATAATTCCTTTCTTGACCTTTATTCTACTGATGGCTCTCCTATGAATGTTAAGCACATTGGCAATATTTCTACAAATTCATTGACTTTACCAAACGCTCTCTTGGTTCCAAAACTTAGTTATAATCTTTTATCGATTGGTCAATTATGTGATCTTGGTTTAGAAGTAACATTTTTTGCTCATGGTTGTCGTGTGCAGGATCCACAAACAAGACAACTTCTTAGAATTGATTGCAAAGTGGGGCATATGTTTGAGCTCAACTATCTACGTATTCCTCATTGTAAAATGGATACACCATCATTTCCAAATGGTTAATTCATCCAAACCCTGCTTTGTGCTGTTGAATTAGAGTTGTTACAAATTCCATATCAACAAATCTTCCATGCCTATGCTACTACTAACATTTCTCCTCTTCATTTGTAGCACTCATGGCTCGAACACACCTTAGTCAGTAAACTTCATTCTCTTATTTCTTGTGGTTTGTTAGGATCTATTTTGAATGAATCTTTACATTGTGTGTCCTGTCAATCTGCAAAACAACCAGTTTTATCTTTTTCTAATAGTCATTCTTTTTTTGTTGCTTCTTTTGATCTCGTGCATTCTGATGTTTGGTGTCCATCTCCAACACCTACCATGGGGGATTTTAGGTGCTTTGTGTTAATTATTAATGATCATAATTGTTTCACCTTTATACATCTTATGAAAAATTGTTTTGAATTACCACAAATTTATATTGATTTTGCTACGATGGTCACAACCCAATTCTCTAAAATTATCAAAGTTTTGAGAACTGACAATACCACTGAATATCTTAGTACTAAACTTCAAGCCTTTCTCAAAGAATAGAATACATTGACACAACAATCTTGTCCTGAAAGTTCTAAATAGAATGGGCAAGCCAAATGCAAACACAGCCGCATCCTTGATTCTATTCATGCTCTGCTCATTTCATCTTCTTATCCAAAGTGATTTTGGGGTGAAATTGCTCTTATAGTTGTTATCTCATTAATTGAATTTCATCATTAGTCATCAATAATAAATCTCCAAATGAATGTTTGCATGGTATTCTTCCTACCTATGATCTTCTTAAGGTTTTTGGTTATGCTTGTTTTGTTCTTCTTCCACCTCATGAACACAACAAGCTAGAGCCCAAAGCTCGATTATGTTGTTTTTTAGGTTATGGCATTACACATAAAGGATATCATTGTTAGGATCTTGTGTCACAAAAACTTCGAGTCTCACGTCATTTTGTCTTTTGGGAACACACTATATTTTCCTCGTTATCAAACTTCCAAGTGTCATCTTTTGATCAACCTCCACTTTTATTAACCTTTCTACTAAGCTATTCCCTAGTGACTCTAATGCAAATACGATGAATCTATGATGCCTCCCCACATGCTTTACCTAGTTTTATAGAAGATGCTCTACCTGTTGGTAATGCATTAGACAATGTTGAATCTTCTTCCTTTACCTCTTCTATATCACCTATTGGATCTAACCTTATTGATATTGAGCCTAAAAATGAGACCTTTAATCCACCTTCAAGTTGTCTTACTTAGGTAAGAAATCCTCATAGCTATCTTCATGATTATCATTGTTTTCTTGCTATTGCCTCCTTACATAGGACTTAATCCTATTGAAAGGCCTCTTCTAACCCTCTTCTAACCCTCTTTGGTAGTAAACTATGCAAGATGAATTACAAGCTCTTGAGAAAACTCATACATGGGATTTAGTTGATCTTCCTATTGGAAAACCTCTAGTAGATTGTAAATGGGTGTACAAGATCAAAACTCAGTCTAATGGCTTTGTGGAGCATTATAAGGCTCGTTTGGTTGCTAAAGGATTTACTCAAGAATATGGGATTGATTATGAGGAAACCTTTGCACCTATTGCTCCTCTTACTTTAGTTTGTAGTTTGATTGATATTGTTGCTGCAAAAAGATGAAAATTGTTTTAGATTGATGTGAAAAATACCTTTCTAAATGGTGATCTTGCAGAGGAAGTTTACATAAAATTACCTCCTTGACTTAAGCATCCTCCAAACAAAGTTTGCCAATTGAAGCAAGCTCTGTACAGTTTGAAACAAGCACGTGGAGCCTAATTTGCCAAGTTTAGTACCACCATGAATAAATTCGATTTTACTTCTAGTCCTCATGATATTGCGCTATTCATACTATTCACATCTTAACAAGAAGTAGATCGTCCATCCTCATGTAACAATAGATTTTTCTTGATATGTTATTTAGTGATAGTATTGAGTGCTGACTATACTCTGCAATATGATGATTAAGAAGAATGATGAACAATAACAAGTTAATAATAGTATTACTTCTTTATCCAATTTCAAAAAAGGAAAAGACTAGATGGCTGCAACCCAATCCACAAGAATTTCATAAGGAGATATGGACTTCTGATAAGCAATGGTATGTTGCCTTCAGGGGAAAGTCTCCTGATAAGGGTTTCACACCAGTCACTGAACAACCCATGATCAGGCCATGCCTGCAGACCCACGGTACCATTTAGGACCAATCCTTTTCAGCTGCACATCTTTAAATCCAGCCTTTTGAAGCCATTCTACATACTCTTCCTCCTTTGGGAAGATCATCCACATACTCCGCAAAAAAACGGGACAACCAAAATGTTGGGTACACAGACCGATGATACATGCTTTCCCTCCTATTTTCAGCACCCTGTAAGCTTCCTTGATGTGGGTCTGGCCAGTACTCAATACTGAGAATTATAATTAGAGAATCGGATTCCAAATGTAGATAAGTTTTATTGAGAAACTTACATGGATATTCATCACTTTACACAGAACTAACTATGGTCTTGATATCTCAAAAACTAAAAATATGACAAGAACAGCAAGCTTTAACATCCAGAATCTCACACAATATCAGTCATCCAAAAATATATATCTTCGTTCTTCATCAATTAAATCACACAAAAAAAAAAAATTTCACAATTTTCCGTTTGGCAAAAGAAACCCAGTTGGATAATTCTACATCTTATGGATGCAAAAACAACTTGACCCTACATCAGTCGCAAACCTTGATCAATCAAGATTTTAACATGAGAAGACACATAGAAACATAATCGTATTACCTCCCCGAGAAATATATCTATCAGCATAATCAGTAGGAAAAGGAAGGTCCCCTGCATCACCTTCAATTATCTTGCATTCTTTCAATGGCTCCTTCTACTTGGCCTAGGCAAGCTGATGAGGTGACTGATCAAGAATTGTAACATTCTTGGCATCCACATGTTTCACCATACCAAGGGTGGTAAATTAATCCAGTTCCACCACCCACATCCACCACTGTCATATTCCTATCGTAAAGATCAACAGGCTCAAGTGCCTCATCCCTCATATCCTCAGTGCAGTGAAACGGGTTTATGATATGATCATACACTATAGATAAAAACCTATAGAACCAAAAAGCCTCTTGCTTGTGTTGAATGAACCTAGGCTGAGAAGCAGACCTTGCTGATATACTGCATCTGGGTACGAAGATTCTAGTCTTCTGAGAATTTGAACCCATGGAACCTAACCTTGCTAGGGCTCTCCCACCAACAAGCTTTTGAGACTTTCAGCTCCGCTGAGCATTGAGGATGCCATAAAATGGTCCGAGGATAAAAACCCAGAAACAACAGGCAAAAATTATTCTCTCTGCTATCTCTCAGTGCAGGCAATTGCAAAGGATGTCAACTATGACATGTGGGATACAGGAGGGTGTTAATTTATAGAAAGAAACTCAAATGAAGCGTTGCTTCAATCTTCAATTGATGTTGTGAAAGACAGAAAGAAAGAAGGAAAATGGCTTACAAATGTAATCTGCTTACCAATGTAATTGAGAGATAGAAACTTAGGAGATAGAAAAGATTACGCTATGAGAAAGAAAGAAGCTTCAAGATTCAATAGCCTCTATTTCCTGGAATATATTCAGAGCCACGCATTGTGGTTCTTGGTAGCGAGTAGTATTGACAGGCTCACAGCTGCCTTCGTCCAATTTGGTATTTTCAATTGCCACAAAACGCACCGTTTTAGCTGAAAATTCATCTTTAAGAATTCCTTCTATTATTATTTTTTTTTTTGGCAAATGTCTACTTGACATCACGAAATTGATCATAAACTTCAATAAAAGAGGCAGGGCTTCTCTTAAAAAAGCAGATGATAAAAGAAAAAACAAAAGGTAAAAAAGAGAGGAGGAAATCTATTTATTTAGCTGTCATGTTCCAAGAATATATACAACTGTCTATTTAGAGATGTAATCAAAATCAAACATGTACTGCAAAGGAAGCTCATCTTCAAGATTTATCATATACTGGCTATGGACGACACAAGCATCCAACTATGAATCTCCGAGAAATGGGATCCGACCATTTTGTCCGCTTAACTCTTTATTAGTTCATATCTTTATGATGAAGGATCAGCCATGTAAAGCATTTATAACTAAAAGAAAAGGGGAAATAAAACCTATGTATTAGTTATTACTTTCTTCATTCACCTCAGCAAGGACCTCTGACATCTCTGATGGCTTCTTAACTTCCCGTAGCTGTGCTGCGTTGTCGAAGCAGTGGTAAAAGCCATAGTGTGGGAACCTCTCGTACCAAGTTTCTTGCTCTATGTGAGTGTCCCAGTGCTCCCCGCTGCTGCTCTTCCCATACTTGTGAACCCATCCTGAACCGTTGTGTCCCTCACCCCAAGTGCGATTCCACCTCTCCCCATAATTGCCTTGCCACCATGTCTCCCCCTGCTTTACCCCGTGACCATTTGGATCAAAATGTTCATCCCACTTGTCACCCCATTTCGTCCAACCATCACCCTCAGAGCGCTCTGCCCATTTGTCAGTGTACTTGATGCTGCCGCCATGTCCATCATACTTCTCACCCCACCTGCCAAAGTTGCAAATACATGATCAAACATTTAGGATATCACTGGATCAAATGAATAGCAGCATAATAATGAAAATAGCTGTTCTATGTTATGCAACTCCAAAGAAGAACCATTTTCCTTTACATTTTAACAGAACAACCAATCATAGTCACTAAGAAACCCTTTGGCAGTAACCTGAGGACAATCATAAACATGGGTAACTTAAACCACAGATCAAACTGGTAGTATTCCAAGAAAATATTCATCTCCAGCTAGCCTCAGTGAAACATCTAGGAATAACCTATTAAACAAGTCAGTCGTTTACATTCCAAACTAACTTCAAATAAATTCCTGATGATGGTTCAAGCATTTCAAGAACTTACATAAGACTTCAGACTGAATAACATGTATTTGGAGTGAACAGGTGGGTGAGTTGAGTCCTAGTTCACAAGATAACTTTAAAAGACAGAAACTGACGACTGATTCAGATTGTCACCATAAAAAAGTTTGGAGGATAGATGACAAGAATACAAAAGTAACAAAACTACATCAAAATTAGATACAAAATTCGGTACCTTTCATGCCAAACATGGGCATGACCAGCCTCAAGGGGTGTGTTAGGGTCGATACTGCACCATTTGTGGGCCCATTTTTCAGCTTGACCAGAGGCATCATAATGCTCCCACCATTTCTCTTGCCACTCATCACCTTTTCCATTCTTTCCCCATTTGTCAGCAGTCTTCTCAAGGTGCACAAGCCCACATTGCTGCACATAGACTTACAAATTATATTTTCTAATACAAGTTGCCACATTCAAATATGAGCAATAAGCATAAGCATTCAAATACAGTAGTTGCCCATCTCTTGACATCCAATATGAGCTTCAATTTGGTCAATGCATGAAGAAGTAAATTCAAAGCAACGGTTTAAGCCTTTCACACCTTACAGCAATTATTCTGAACTTTTATTAAGACATGCTTGACATTGTATCTTAAGTAATATATGGATAATTTACCATCCAACAGTACAACCAACGTTGGTCATCATTTGCATATTCTAGTGTACTGCAACAAAATGAATTGATAATTGATAAAAACAGTAATTTCACACACACACATAAGAAATTGTTACTAACCTGCAGCATTGATTCTCTCCAAAATTCACACCAAACATTTCCATGTGCATCACGTCCTGATTTCTCAGAACCTAGTTCCTTATAATCAAATTCATCAGAAGCCTCCCAGTACTTTTCCTGCCACTCAACAGATTGATCAGCACTAACGCCTCTGGTCATTGTCCACCTGCAAATCACACCATCAGGTCTTTGCTCAATCCCAGTTTCCCTCCACCATCTCAATCCATCTGGATTTACTCCACTGGGTGATGATAAGTCTGCCTTCTGAAGAGCTCGTGCTGCCTCTGCTGCATGTGCAGAAAACTCAACACCAAGGTCATGTTCCTCTTTCGATGAAACCTTATCTACAGTTGGCAGGTGAACTTCCACCTTATCAACTTCAGCTTTATTAACCTCAATCAGTGACTGAAAAGGTGGAAGAATAAGGTTGCGGTTGGTACTTTCAAATGGAATAGTGAGAATGTCTGCAGATCGATCTTTCTCCAATACTGGGTTGCTCGGAGCTTGATACACTGAAGGTTTTCTAGCCATCTGCAAGTCATCAGCATCATCTGAATTCCCAGCACTAGCTGGAGGTGGTGTCCAAGACCAAAAGTCTGGACCTGGTGTTCCATCTTTAGAAGTTCCAGACCTAGAAACAAAGCTACTTCCTGTTCCTGCTGGAATTCAATTACACCCAGATCAACTTCAATTAAAAAAAAGAAAAACAAAAACCTTAATTACATTAAGTAACTAGCACCAATTAACACCAAATTTTTCTTTTTTTATCTTGAGTTGCATAATGAGGCAATTTTCTATCATCCCTTCAACATGGCATGCGACTCAAATTCAGTATGTCTAAGTCCCATTGGACTAACCTACGTAGGTCATTTGCAACACTAGATTTAATATCAGTTTAAAAATTATCACTTTCTAAGGTATGAAATATAATATGGACAGAATTTTAATAACTGAAGCAAATACTTCCCTAAATGGAAATATTTAAATACAAAATCTAATTGACAAAAAAAACTAAAAAAAATGAAAATTGGAATTTACCTCCTTCTTGAAGGTTGTTTGTTTTAGCAGTTCCGCTCTCTGTATCCTCTTTCACCGAAGCAACAGTCTTCTTGAGAATGGCTCGAGCAGCTGCAATGGCAGCCGCGGCACGATCAACCACCTGCATTCTCTGAACCCGATCCCTCTCCTCCTTGTCAACATTCAGAATCTTCTTAAACTCCTCGCTCTTCTCCTCCAAAATCTCAACATCACGAACCTCATTATCGTCATCAGCAGCACCGTCAGCCAAATCCCCGGCAAGTCGCTGGAACTCGACTTCCTTCCTCTCCCGATCCTTAGCCTTCTTCCACATATCAAGGTACGAATCTCCATCGCTCAAAACCCTAACGACCTTGAGACTTACTCTCCTCCGTCCCAGCCCCTGATTCGATCGGCTAATCGCCATTGTCGTGGAAACAAGCGCGTAATTCCGTCCGTAGAGCGGGATAGGAGCGGCGGCGCGTGGGGGTACGCGGGTGAGGGAAGACATTTTGCGGAATCGATCTCTCGGAACTGAAAGCGTGAACTGAGGAACAGAAAAGGAGGAGGAGGATGGAGCATTGGGCGGTGAGATATTATTTTGAAAAGAGAACAAAATAAAAAAATAAAAAATAAAAAACTTTTTTGAAAGTAGAAAATATCAGGAAAAGTGGGAATTAATTTCCGTGAAATGGAAGAAAAGTTTCGATCCGTTGTGTGCTTTAACAGATTGCCTGTGCTTTCAAAGGACTGAGATGGAAGATTGAGATTGGTTTGCTGGACACGTGGCGATCCTGGGATCCTCCATTTCCAGAATCTGAGAACTGTAAATTAACTACCTCATGAGCTCAGCTTCTTCTTCCGTTGGTTTTTTTTTTATTTTATTTTATTAATTATATTATTTATAATTAATTTTATATAAAATTTAAATAAAATAAAATATAAAATTAAAAAAATTCATATCAGCTTTACGTTAGTTCTCAAAGATTAAGAGGAAAATCTTATAAAAAAAAAAAAATTATTTCAAAACTACGCTATTTCAATAAATTTTTATTGAAAAAAATTAAATTACCCTATTTTTAAAGTATGTGATTTTTGTATTTTTTCTTTCTAATTTTTTGGAGGTAAAGCGGATAAGCGCTAATCCCATATAAAATATAATA